TATGAAGGGTAGGGGGTGTGTAGACCAAGTGTTCGCAGTGAAACATATAAGTGAACAGTATCTAGGTATGGGTAAAGAGGTTTGTGTGGCATTTATGGATTTGGAAAAGGCATATGACAGGGTGGATAGGGAGGAAATGTGGCAGATGTTGCAAATGTATGGAATAAAAGGTAGGTTATTGCAAGCAGTGAAGAGTCTTTATGAGGATAGTGAGGCTCAAGTTAGAGTATGTAGGAGAGAGGGATATTATTTCCCAGTAAAAGTAGGCCTTAGACAGGGAAGTGTAATGTCACCATGGTTGTTCAATATATTTACACATGGAGTTGTAAGAGAAGTGAATGCTTGGGTGTTGGCAAGAGGTGTGCTTTTGGAAGATTCTGAAGAAAAGTTGCAGAGGTTGGCTGATGAGTTTGGTAGGGTATACAAAAGAAGGAAATTAAAAGTGAATATGGGAAAGAGTAAGGTGATGAGGATAACCAAAAAAAAATTAGTTAACGAAAGATTGGATATAACATTGGAGGGAGTATGGACGAGGTGACTATATTCAGATAGTACAGTGGACCCTTGGTTTTCGTGATTAATCTGTTCCAGAGAGTTTGCTGAAAAACCAAAATTCATGAAAACCGAAACCACTTTCCCCATAAGAAATACAGTGGTACCTCGAGTTTCGGCCATAACTTGTTCTAGAACGCTGTTCGAGTGCCATTACCAAATGAGTGCCATTACCTAGTAAAGTTCCTTTAGTAAAGAAAGTGAGAAACAAGATGGAATTTAAGAAAGAAGTTACTGAAAAGTATGAGAGTGGTGTACGGGTGCCTGAGCTTGCCAGGATGTATGGAAAACCCAAATCAACAATCACTTCCATCCTGGCAAAGAAAGTAGATATCAAGGAAGCTAATGCTACAAAAGGGGTAAATGTGCTAATGAAACAAAGGTCACCAATAATCAAAGATGTAGAGAAGTTATTGTTGGCATGGCTCACTGAAAAACAATTAGTGGGGGACAGTGTTGTGGAGTCAATCATTTGTGAAAAGGCAAGGCAGTTGCATACGGATCTCGTAAAGAAAATGCATGGAATGAGTGTTGCTGTTAGTGAATTTAGGGCCAACAAAGGTTGGTTTGAGAGATTTAAGAAGCGTAGTGGCATACACAGTGTTGTAAGGCATGGCGAGGCTGCAAGTTCTGACAAATGTGCAGCTGAAGAATTTGTTGATGAATTCAAGGGGTAGATAGAGGCTAAAGGATTCCTCCCCCAACAAGTGTTCAGTTGTGACAAAACAGGACTCTTCTGGAACAAAATGCCAAAAAGGACCTAAATCACATGCAAAGTGGAGGGAGGTTAAAATTTCTGTGGAGAAATATCACCCTGATCAAGCACAAACAAGCCTTATCTGCATGTTCGGTGACAAAACCTTGTCCCACTTCAGGCAAATCTTTAAGAGACGCCAGAAACAGAGCACTCTGGACAGTTTTTTTGTGCGACGGGTGCAGAAGGAACGTAATCCCAGAGAGGGCTTTGATACCTGAAGTCCTTATGGAGGGGGATTCCCCTTACAAACAATAATCAGTCCTCCCTCTCTCCTCCTCCCTGTCTTCCATAAGCCAACAAGAGTCTTCAATAAATGTATGTAATAGTGATTTAAATGTTCATTTAATTTAGTTCTCATTGTGTTGTGTAAAACTATGGTTAATCTTTAAAAAATGTACTTTTTGTTAATATTTTTGGGTGTCTGGAACGGATTAATTGTATTTACATTAATTCTTATGGGAAATATTTCAGTTTTCAGCCATTTCGGTTTTAGGCTGACTTTCTGGAACGGATTATGGCCGATAACCAAGGGTCCACTGTAATATAAGCTATTCTTCCATTCTTCTAATAATACCTAAATACCTCCAATCTTTGTTGCTGTATGACACTTATATATCATACATGCCTATTGTGACTATTAGGTAATCTGAGATTGGATGGCCTCAAGGATAATGGTAGAGGTGTATGGAAGTAGCTACTAGAGGATCAAAAAAGGTTAATAAACTCTGAACACAACCTATAGCTCTGCTATTGTGTGTACCAAAAGGTAATCACTTAATCAGCCACCAGTTCATAATACAACAGTTCATAATCTGCCGAGTCATAGGGCCATTACCACACCTCTCATTTTCTCTTGACTGCCATCACTAAACAAGTGTCTTCCCTATGAATCGGACACAGCTTGAGTAGCAGGCTCGTCTTCCAGGCAAGCAGAAATGAGGAATAAGTACATGGATCTCCATGCACGGCAAAAGCACTGGGGCTGCACTTAACGAGCTTCTGTGGCAAAAAAACTTTTCTAAGAGGGGCCAGGTTTAACCCAACCTCAAGTTGGCTTAAAATGGCAAAGGAAACTTCAGATTTAAGAAGTGTTATATATTTCAGTCTACTTTTGAGACTCACTTCAGCCTCTTAAACTGAAGAAGGCCTCAGTACTCTTTTTAGTTTCTGGTTTATTTCATTCATATAGGTCTGTTTGTGCCATGCATGTCATAAGAGGCAACTAAAATGCTAGGAGCAAGGGACTAATAACTCCTTCTCCTGTATTAATTTTTTTTTTTTTCAACAAGTCGGTCGTCTCCCACCGAGGCAGGGTGACCCAAAAAAGAAAGAAAATCCCCAAAAAGAAAACATTTTCATCATCATTCAACACTTTCACCACACTCACACACCATCACTGCTTTTGCAGAGGTGCCCAGAACACAACAGCTTAGAAGCATATACGTATAAAGATACACAACATATCCCTCCAAACTGCCAATATCCCAAACCACTCCCCTAAAGTGCAGGCATTGTACCTCCCATTTCCAGGACTCAAGTCCGACTATATGAAAATAACCAGTTTCCCTGAATCCCTTCACTAAATATTACCCTGCTCACACTCCAACAGATCGTCAGGTCCCAAGTATCATTCGTCTCCATTCACTCCTATCTAACACGCTCATGCACGCTTGCTGGAAGTCCAAGCCCCTCGCCCACAAAACCTCCTTTACCCCCTCTTTCCAACCCTTTCGAGGACGACCCCTACCCCCCTTTCCTTCCCCTATAGATTTATATGCTTTCCATGTCATTCTACTTTGATCCATTCTCTCTAAATGACCAAACCACCTCAACAACCCTCTTCTGCCCTCTGACTAATGCTTTTATTAACTCCACACCTTCTCCTAATTTCCACACTCCGAATTTTCTGCATAATATTTACACCACACATTGCCCTTAGACAGACATCTCCACTACCTCCAACCGTCTCCTCGCTGCTGCATTTACCACCCAAGCTTCACATCCATATAAGTGTGTTGGTACTACTATACTTTCATACATTCCCTTCTTTGCCTCCATAGATAACGTTTCTTGACTCCACATATACCTCAACGCACCACTCACCTTTTTTCCCTCATCAATTCTATGATTAACCTCATCCTTCATAAATCCATCTGCCGACACGTCAACTCCCAAGTATCTGAAAACATTCACTTCTTCCATACTCCTCCTCCCCAATTTGATATCCAATTTTTCTTTAACTAAATCATTTGATACCCTCATCACCTTACTCTTTTCTATGTTCACTTTCAACTTTCTACCTTTACACACATTCTCAAACTCATCCACTAACCTGTATTAATTACTAAATTTAAATAGGAAAACTTTTGTTTTTCTTTTTAGGTCACCCTGCCTCAGTGAGATACGGCAGATTCGTTGAAAAAAAAAAAGGTCTGTTTGTGTCACTGATCAATGTTTATTATGCTTTTGTTTTTGGAGAGATTGGAGAGATTAACAAGCTGAAAAGGACTGAGAAGTAAAAAAATGAAATAGAGGATAAGACTGATGGGAGAATATTTTGAGTGTTGGTTATTTCTGGCAACATCAGCACATACAAACACCATGAACTGTTTACCTGGAGAGAGTTCCGGGGGTCAATGCCCCCACAGCCCGGTCTGTGACCAGGCCTCATGGTGGAACAGGGCCTAATCAACCAGGCTGTTACTACTGGCTGCATGCAATCCAACGTACGAGCCACAGCCCGGCTGGTCAGGTACCAACTTTAGGTGCCTGTCCAGTGCCTGCTTGAAGACAGCCAGGGTCTATTGGTAATCCCCTTATGTATACTGGGAGGCAGTTGAACAGTCTTGGGCCCCTGACACTTATTGTGTTGTCTCTTAGTGTGCTAGTGACACCCCTGCTTTTCATTGGGGGGATGTTGCATTGTCTGCCGAGTCTTTAGCTTTCGGAGAGAGTGATTTTCGTGTGTAAGTTTGGTACCGTTTCAAGGAATGTTCTGTGGGGAATTTGTTTGGCAGGGATAAATAATATCTAGGAGGAGTAAGGAAGAGCCACAGGTGAATGCAGGGAAAGTGTCCAGGGCAGTGGGTAGAATCAAATGTGGGTAAAGCAGCTGGGACAAAAAGGATCAAGACTGATATACTAAAAGTAGGTGAGGGATAGTTTTGGAGTGGTGTATTTATTGAATATATGCATGAAAGAAGGGAAGAAACTTATGATAAGTATTGGCAGAGATACATTTTAGACATTTGGTTGAACTGTCAGTCAGAGCTAGAGACCTAGAGGGAAGATATGTGTCACGGTGGCTGGAGACAGAGAAAGAGAGGGCAGTTCACGTGTCCGCCAACACTAGGCTGAGGTGGGCACCAGATGGCATCTCGGTCAAATTTGCTTATGGTGACAAGTATGAAAGCTACAAAGTAGGATAACATAGCAGCAACACATGGAGCTAAATCTTAACTTTTCAAACTATTTAATGGCATGATTTTCCAAACTATTTAATGGCATGACTTTCCAAACTATTTAATGGTATGACCTTCCAAAATATTTAATGGTATGAGAAGACATTTGAGCATGCCATAACCTCTTATCCTGCATTTCCTCAGATAAAGTGGTATATTTTATTTTATCTTTATATATGTGTCAAATATCATTATAGAAGGTACCTACTGATGGACAAGACAGGCATCTCTCAGGGTTTAACTCAAATTTATTTGACTAGAGACATTTAGATGACAATCAAGATGCAAAATAAATATTAAAAATTAATGAAGCTGCATGAAAATATTTAATAAATCTGTATCGCTAGAAAATTATAAATTCATATATTACACCACTAGCATTAACACCAATTATTGTATAGTGCATAAATAAAGTATGTATTGTCTCATGTATAGTACCCTGTAGATATACTGCAAACCTTCAGGCCTGGTCTCAGACTGGGCCGCGGGGGCGTTGACCCCCGAAACCCTCTCCAGATAAACTCCAGGTAGATCAGTTTCACTAATCCAGTCTGACCAAAATAATTCACCCAATTCATTAGATAAGCAAATAAGAGCATTCAGTTATGATAATACTCAATAAATACATAATACAAAAAAAAAAAAAAACACTGTATTATCATATTGATTTTTCTGCCTCACAAAATCATAATTATTTATACAAAAATACCCAGTTATCTCTTTCTGTTTAATATTTTTATAATGTCCACATAAATTTAAGAAAGTGTCTATTATTGTTTAAGTACAGCACATCTGTGAAAAAAAAAGAGTAATTACCGGGTAAATTCAAGTTAATGATAAATAAAAGCATAACAAACATGAATGACTTTTATCAAGTTGTGAATACTGTACATATATCCAGCAAAAATTGAGGCCTCTGACAAGAGCTATTTGAAGTTTATAATATATCAGTCTTGCAATATAATGTTGAGGTGACAAAGTTTTTAAAAACTAAGCCTATTCAGGTTAACAGATTAAGAAATTTTTCAGATTATAAATTCTGTCTCTTAAACATGCAAGATTTTAGGTAAGTCTTGCTACTTCTACTTACACTTAGGTCACACTACACATGCATGTACACACATGTATACACACTCATCTGAGTTTTCTTTCATCATAAATTCTAGTGTCCTCAAATCAAGCAGGAAAAGGCTGGTAGTCCTAGATGTGAGAGAATGGGTCTCCATCGTCAGTGTGTGCGGTACAAAAAAAATCGGGGACCCAGTGGTGCATTGTGGGAAAGCCATTTTATTACACCTTGTTCACCATGTCTAGCGCTATGAACCTCTTCACTCCTCGGCTAGTTGGGGCTCTTTTGTTCCCAAATGACAGTTCAAACACAGATGGAAGTGTCAGTGAAGATGAATTTCATGGTTTTGAGGGGTTTGTGACCAAAAGCAATGCCCAAGAAACCTGAAGGAAGGAAGGTAGGAAGAAAGGGAGGGGGAAGGAAGGAAGAAAGAGATGAGAGGAAGGAGGGAAGGAAGGAAGGAGACCATTAACCTAGGATAACCCAAAAAATTCTGACAGTGACTTATTTCCATGTGGGTTGGTGGGGCGAAGAGGAAGTTGACAGGCAGCGAGGGTGGTGAGTGATGGCGTTATTTGTTATTGTGACACTAATTAGGCCAGTGACTCAGCATATTTACAAGTCCACCCCCACACAACAACTACGAGCTTTACAGAAGCTGTAGCAGTTCCGAGAAGTGTCCAGTGACTTTATATGTATATATATGCGATAGAAAAATAGTAATAAACAACATTTTTTTATTGTTGGTTTGTGTAAACATGTTTTGTAAACTATAATGACTGTGCAGTTATTGTGAGGTATACAACGAGTCAATATACATTCAATATACCTTATATTGGTCTCACAGACCATAAAATTACTTGAATGAAGAAAAAAAGGAAGGAAGAAGGAAGGAAGGCAGGAAGGTAGGTAGGTGGGAAGAGATGAGAGGAAGGAAGAAGGAAGGAGGGAAGGTAGGTAGGAAGAGATGAGAGGATGGAAGGAAGGAAGGAAGGAAAGGAAGGAAGGTAGGTTTTTGGGGACGAAGGGATGTGTTGTGGAAGGCAGTGAGTGTTAGTGGTGGTATGATGCATCATTGTGACACAAGACACATCGGTGACTCAGCATATTTACAAGTCCACCCCCACACAACTACAAGCTTTCAGAACCTCTTGTAGTTATAGGAACTGTCCAGTGACTCTGTGTATATATTATGATAGAAAAATAATAATAAACATTTTTTATTGTTGGTTTGTGTAAACATGTTTTGTAAACAATATAATGACAGCAAAGTCTGTGCTGTTATTGTGTACAGTGGATCCCCAGTTATTGGCCGGTTCAGTTATTGGCCAACTCGGTTATTGGCCGTTTTTTCAGCGCCCGGTTATCGGTCGTTAGTTCGGGTATCGGCCATTTGGGAGACATCCATCCTCTGGCTGGGGCCACTTGCAAGTCAGTTTGGCTTTGCCTCTGGGCAAGTGAGGAAGCTTCTGCTCATTCATCCAAACATTTTGCTATAATCCATTGTTTTTGTGGTTGATTGAGTGCAATTGCAAAATAAGCAACCATGGGCCCAAAGAAACACGTTACATAGTATATAAAAACATGCAATGTTTATATGCGATGTATATTTAACTCTTTCAGGGTCCAGAGGCCAAATTTCAAGTGTGCACCAGTGTCCAAGAATTTTCAAAAAATAATTTTTTTATTTTTTTATTATGAAATGGTAGAGAATCTTTTTCTCAAGGTAATAAAACAAAAAGTACGAAATTTGATGGAAAATTGATGAAATTATGCTCTCGCGATGTGTCAGCGATATTTATGAATTGGCGATTTTGCCGAATTTGACTCCCATTTTAGGCCAATTACATTATTCCAGTCAAACAAATTCTTAGCTATTTCACTAGTATTACTTCTATTCTATCGATTGAGCACAAGAAATCGCCAAGTCAACTGTTTCAACTACAAAATAAAGTGATCGGAAATTGGTAATTTGGCCAATTTAACACAAACTTCAAAATATTCCAATTTCAATATAGGGTCCAGAATAAACAATGTAGGTATTCCTGGCACTAAACTAACATTTCCTCTGTTCATTAGTTATGTTTTGAGGCTTTACAAATAAATTCCATTTTGATTTTTTATTCACATAATGAATTTTTATTCACACCAAAAAATAGAAGATTTACTGTTATGCAATATTGTAATAATAGTATAAATATCATCACCACATTTGTGAATGTATATTAGACCCACCAGCTGGCGTGTATTAGACGTGTGAGGTCGTTTGTTTACTCTTAAACATCGGCAAAAATTTAACATTTCCGCTACTTTGAACTCAGTTTCAAGCCATTTCCAGTGCTAAAACCAATCAAAATCATCTCTATTTCTGTAATATGTCTTCCATTCTATCATATGAGACCAAGAAATTGCAAATACAACTATAAAAAACATACGAAAAACACTGCAAAGTCACTGTTTTAATCGAAAATCATGGTCTCAGTTTTTTTTCTTTCGTTATACACAGTGTGCTGCAGGATTTGTTTTATGTGGTGCACACATACCACATAGATGTATTCTCTCATATCTAGGCCCAAATGTACCACTCACAGTTTATCAGAGTGAGCTGAGCTCATGGTGTAGATCTACGGTTTGGACCCTGAACGTAAAGCCGTAGATCTGCCGGATGTACCCTGAAAGGATTAATATATATTAATTTCATATATATTTTCATATAGTCGGACTTGAGTCCTGGAAATGGGAAGTACAATGCCTGCACTTTAAAGGAGGGGTTTGGGATATTGGCAGTTTGGAGGGATATGTTGTGTATCTTTATATGTGTATGCTTCTAAACTGTTGTATTCTGAGCACCTCTGCAAAAGGAGTGATAATGTGTGAGTGTGGTGAAAGTGTTGAATGATGATGAAAGTATTTTCGTTTTGGGGATTTTCTTTCTTTTTTGGGTCACCCTGCCTCGGTGGGAGACAGCCGACTTGTTGAAAAAAAAAAAAAAAATTTCAGAAAGATTCCTTATGAAATAAATACATTATTTTTTATAATGCAGTGACTGTACTGCATTTCAGTACATTACAAAATGAAAACTTGCTAACATAAATATACTGTACATTGTATATTTATAGCATTTTAAATTTTTTTTTTTTTTTTTTTTCAACAAGTCGGCCGTCTCCCACCGAGGCAGGGAGACCCAAAAAAAAGAAAGAAAATCCCCAAAAAGAAAATACTTTCATCATCATTCAACACTTTCACCACACTCGCACATTATCACTGTTTTTGCAGAGGTGCTCAGAATACAACAGTCTAGAAGCATACACATATAAAGATACACAACATATCCCTCCAAACTGCCAATATCCCAAAACCCTCCTTTAAAGTGCAGGCATTGTACTTCCCATTTCCAGGACTCAAGTCCGACTATATGAAAATAACCGGTTTCCCTGAATCCCTTCACTAAAATATTACCCTGCTCACACTCCAACAGATCGTCAGGTCCCAAGTACCATTCGTCTCCATTCACTCCTATCTAACACGCTCACGCACGCTTGCTGGAAGTCCAAGCCCCTCACCCACAAAACCTCCTTTACCCCCTCTCTCCAACCCTTTCGAGGACGACCCCTACCCCCCCTTTCCCTTCCCCTATAGATTTATATGCTTTCCATGTCATTCTACTTTGATCCATTCTCTCTAAATGACCAAACCACCTCAACAACCCCTCTTCTGCCCTCTGACTAATACTTTTATTAACTCCACACCTTCTCCTAATTTCCACACTCCGAATTTTCTGCATAATATTTACACCACACATTGCCCTTAAACAGGACATCTCCACTGCCTCCAAACCGTCTCCTCGCTGCTGCATTTACCACCCAAGCTTCACACCCATAAAGAGTGTTGGTACTACTATACTTTCATACATTCCCTTCTTTGCCTCCATAGATAACGTTTTTTGACTCCACATATACCTAAATGCACCACTCACCTTTTTTCCCTCATCAATTCTATGATTAACCTCATCCTTCATAAATCCATCCGCCGACACGTCAACCCCCAAGTATCTGAAAACATTCACTTCTTCCATAACTACTCCTCCCCAATTTGATATCCAATTTTTCTTTATCTAAATCATTTGACACCCTCATCACCTTACTCTTTTCTATGTTCACTTTCAACTTTCTACCTTTACACACATTCCCAAACTCATCCACTAACCTTTGCAATTTTTCTTTAGAATCTCCCATAAGCACAGTATCATCAGCAAAAAGTAACTGTGTCAATTCCCATTTTGAATTTGATTCCCCATAATTTAAAATATTTTAAAATATTTCACAATAAATATTACTGGTTTAATATCATACATATTTTTATTTTTTTTTTTTTTATTATCACACCGGCCGATTCCCACCAAGGCAGGGTGGCCCGAAAAAGAAAAACTTTCACCATCATTCACTCCATCACTGTCTTGCCAGAAGGGTGCTTTACACTACAGTTTTTAAACTGCAACATTAACACCCCTCCTTCAGAGTGCAGGCACTGTACTTCCCATCTCCAGGACTCAAGTCCGGCCTGCCGGTTTCCCTGAATCCCTTCATAAATGTTTACTTTGCTCACACTCCAACAGCACGTCAAGTATTAAAAACCATTTGTCTCCATTCACTCCTATCAAACACGCTCACGCATGCCTGCTGGAAGTCCAAGCCCCTCGCACACAAAACTCCTTTACCCCATCCCTCCAACCCTTCCTAGGCCGACCCCTACCCCGCCTTCCTTCCACTACAGACTGATACACTCTTGAAGTCATTCTGTTCGCTCCATTCTCTCTACATGTCCGAACCACCTCAACAACCCTTCCTCAGCCCTCTGGACAACAGTTTTGGTAACCCGCACCTCCTCCTAACTTCCAAACTACGAATTCTCTGCATTATATTCACACCACACATTGCCCTCAGACATGACATCTCCACTGCCTCCAGCCTTCTCCTCGCTGCAACATTCATCACCCACGCTTCACACCCATATAAGAGCGTTGGTAAAACTATACTCTCATACATTCCCCTCTTTGCCTCCAAGGACAAAGTTCTTTGTCTCCACAGACTCCTAAGTGCACCACTCACTCTTTTTCCCTCATCAATTCTATGATTCACCTCATCTTTCATAGACCCATCCGCTGACAACGTCCACTCCCAAATATCTGAATACGTTCACCTCCTCCATACTCTCTCCCTCCAATCTGATATTCAATCTTTCATCACCTAATCTTTTTGTTATCCTCATAACCTTACTCTTTCCTGTATTCACCTTTAATTTTCTTCTTTTGCACACCCTACCAAATTCATCCACCAATCTCTGCAACTTCTCTTCAGAATCTCCCAAGAGCACAGTTCATCAGCAAAGAGCAGCTGTGACAACTCCCACTTTGTGTGTGATTCTTTATCTTTTAACTCCACGCCTCTTGCCAAGACCCTCGCATTTACTTCTCTTACAACCCCATCTATAAATATATTAAACAACCACGGTGACATCACACATCTTGTCTAAGGCCTACTTTTACTGGGAAAAAATTTCCCTCTTTCCTACATACTCTAACTTGAGCCTCACTATCCTCGTAAAAACTCTTCACTGCTTTCAGTAACCTACCTCCTACACCATACACTTGCAACATCTGCCACATTGCCCCCCTATCCACCCTGTCATACGCCTTTTCCAAATCCATAAATGCCACAAAGACCTCTTAGCCTTATCTAAATACTGTTCACTTATATGTTTCACTGTAAACACCTGGTCCACACACCCCCTACCTTTCCTAAAGCCTCCTTGTTCATCTGCTATCCTATTCTCCGTCTTACTCTTATTCTTTCAATTATAACTCTACCATACACTTTACCAGGTACACTCAACAGACTTATCCCCCTATAATTTTTTGCACTCTCTTTTATCCCCTTTGCCTTTATACAAAGGAACTATGCATGCTCTCTGCCAATCCCTAGGTACCTTACCCTCTTCCATACATTTATTAAATAATTGCACCAACCACTCCAAAACTATATCCCCACCTGCTTTTAACATTTCTATCTTTATCCCATCAATCCCGGCTGCCTTACCCCCTTTCATTTTACCTACTGCCTCACGAACTTCCCCCACACTCACAACTGGCTCTTCCTCACTCCTACAAGATGTTATTCCTCCTTGCCCTATACACGAAATCACAGCTTCCCTATCTTCATCAACATTTAACAATTCCTCAAAATATTCCTTCCATCTTCCCAATACCTCTAACTCTCCATTTAATAACTCTCCTCTCCTATTTCTAACATATAATACATAAAAATTTGTGCATGTTTTTTTCATACCAAAATGCCACATTTTTTTTCTGAGGACAATAATAATAACATCTCACCAAAACCTCCTGATACCCTGGTACTCACCAGGTATCTTGTCAATATGCCAGACCTTGCCAGGTCCTTCCTGACTAGTTGGCAACATTGCCAGGAGAGTTCAGGACCATATTAATGAAAAACAGCGAACCTTCCGTGGTTGTCACACTGAGCTAGTAGGGAAGATGATCCTTTCTCAGCCATGGCACTGAATTATTCACCCCTCATAGTAATCCCTCTCCCTGTCATGACCAGGTGTTATATACGGTAGGTTACAGTTTTTTTTTATCATGTCATCCCAAAATTCTTGGATTGTAATGAATTTTTTTGGTGCCCACTTCACACATTTGTTAGATATATATGTAATGGTGTTAATACCATAAGATAATGGGTATCTATTCACACTGGAAGGAGAATCAGAGCACCTGTAACAGTTTATAATTTTAACCAAAAATTGGAAATTGGATCATGTATGGATATTAATGTAAGTACTATTATATATTATGTGCAAGCTGTATAGTACTGCCCATGCTACTGATATACAGTATTGAAAAAAAAAAATCTTATACACATTTACTATACAATATTTAAACATGTGATAAAAGATGTTTGGGAACCTAGCAATGAATACCAAGCAGTACACTCAGGAGAGAACGACCTCAGACATTACTAAGCCTGATAATACAGATAATATGTAAGCTCATCTCACATAAGTAACAAGCAAAGACACACTTATACAACTTTACATTATTTATTTACAATATGTGAAACTGCTGTAAATATTTTGGCATAGAATATTCACTAGTGATACTGTTCACTAACTACCAGTCAAATATGCCAGTAATTTAATATTAAATGCATTTGAGAATCATGGGCTTGGAGCAAGCTTCCAATGGCAATGCTCAAGTTACCTGGCTCACTCAAGAACTGACTGATCCCACCACTCATGCTTCAGTTATCTTCCCTAGTCTGTAGTAAGCAGAATAAACAATCTTCTTCCTTATTTATAAGTCATTCTAGGATGACATTTTTCTGGTAATGTAGGCATTATGAGAAGGTAGCAGGATATTTTAATACTAAATTTATCCTATGTTCAAAATACAGTAAGTATCATGAGTACATCATAACTATTCATTATGATCTCATGTTAATTACGTTGTAAAACAATAGGGAAGTTTTAAGCCTTTAGGGTTACTACCCTCTTGACCAATCAGTTCTTCTTTATTAACTGCACTTTCATGCAATTCTGCAGTGTATCTTTTCAATCCATCTTCTGCACTGAATACTATTAACTGTGAACTTATAATCATCCAATTTATTTTGTTTATAGCAAAATAGATGCTAGGATACCACTGAGTCTTTGTCACTTGTACAGTTATTCTTTGAACCCTGTACAGGTTTAACCTACATAGAGTATATCATTATTATATAATATATGATTATATATCGTGTATTATAACCAACTTATACTACAGTAGTTTCCATTCTCTTTCTAACATAATCTATGATGTGCATGCTTCTGTTCCTAAATTGGCACTGTTAGACAAGTTACAATAATCTCATTACTACAAGCAGAAGAAATTATAAAGTTGATAATGGAAATTGTAGTAAACTGAGGGATCAGTCTCAGAGTCATATAATAAAGCATTACAAAATTCCATTATACTTAGTGTTGCTTTTCCTGTATATTTGCCAGCTTCTGCTCATCCTAATTCACTTATCTTACACCCCTACTTTACCAAGAACCAAACATTAGAACACTGGTTGCTGGCTTCTAGTGGGACATCGTACATTAGCTCCAAGATTAATGGACTCCTGAGTGAATATTAAGCCAAGTATGGCTAATTCTTCTCCACCTTTCATTCTCACTGACTCTTACCATATTGCCTAAGGAAGTTTTGTGTTGGCAGGCTCTGAGTCTCAGCTCATGTTCTGCCTATCCACCATAAATAGTTGTGTGTGATTTGCACTAACTCCTTGCATTTCATCATACAGTAATGCATTTACATTTGAATGTAGGTATGGAGTGCCTCTTACCATTTCCACAAGAGAACTCCACTCCCTATCACCATGTCAGGCTTAACATGTTAGTCATTTTAATTACTGTAATAAATTTTGGCTCTTAAGAAGTGCTACCCAAGAATAACTTTGTCTATGATCGGTAAGTCAGCGGTCTCCCCCTCCCCTACACTAGTGGTCTTGACAACAGTTTGCCATGCTTTTGCCATAGGGCTGACAATAATGAGTGAGCTAGCTTATGACAAAGACCCATGGGGTAATTTCTCCCTCTTGAATAAATCAACAATACTGACCTCAACTTATCTGAAGGGAACCTTAATTTTATATGATCACAGCAGCTATATTGGCATATATAAAACATTAATCTGTTCATTTTATAATCGAAGTGGTGATGTTAAATAATATACTGTATATACAAAGTTCCACAAACCACTGGTAATTAAAGCTGATCACAGGCCTTTTCTGTCCTCTACAAAATTTCTAAATCACAATGTCGAATCTCTGGATGACTTTTCTGTAAGAGAGATGGAAAAAATTATTTCTCATACACTTATTAAAATTTTAAATATACAGTACAGCTATTCCATCTATTATCCAAATCCGAAGGGATCTGAGGTAATTGGCTACCTGATAATATGGACTATTCAGAAAGTCAGGGTCAGATAAGTTAATGATTGTACAGTGGAACCTCTGCTTATGAGTTTAATCTGTTCCATGACCTAGCTCGTAACCCAATCTACTTGTATACTGAGTCAATATTCCTCATTTAGATTAACTGAAATGCCATAATGCGATCCAGTGGCATTTCTGCTCTAGGGACGCAGGACAAAAATACTTCAATATGATGCTAACATCAACTCTGTGATTTATTTATCTATCACAATTCATCTAATATGACATAATAAACAATATAATTAAGATAGAAACATGATATATGAGTAAAATACACCATAATATGGCGAGTGGTGGCAGTGACGTCCATTCCCTCTCCCGCTGACTATCTTCCCATGCTTTTATTATAAGAGAAAATGGAGTGTTTGTGAGGCTAACTGCACTATGTTTCATAAATAAGAAATATTGCATAAAAACATAACAGAGAATGTAAAGAAATAAAGTGGTTTTATAAAGTGTATATACGGTGGCAGAGGTGGAGAGTGGAAGATAGGCTACTTACTACTAGCTCCTACTGCCACCGCACACCTCACTTGTTTATCTATGATTTCATGCTGTAATTCCATGGACATCATCCTCTTTTTCTTCTCAACATTGTCCTTTGCACTTACTTACTTAGATCCCATGATTAGAAAAAAGAAATTTGGCAATAATAACATGAGAAATGCTTCCACGGTGACATAAACACATTGCACAGCTCAGCTGATATTGTGGTTGTTAGCTGTGCCACCTAGTGGTATGTTCTGAAACTCGCTTATTATTATTTTTTTTTTCAACAAACTGGCCATATCCCATCAAGGCAGGGTGGCCCAAAAAGAAAAAACAAAAGTTTTTTTTTTAACTTAGAAGTATACAAAAAGGGGGTTATAGCCCTTGCTCCAGCATTTTAGTCACCTTACGACACGCTGGCTTAGGGGGGAAAAAAAAAATTCTATTCCATTCCCCCGTGGAGATTGGGGGAAATAAACAAAACAACAACTATAAAAAAATAAAAAACCAGAGGGGGTTGGTATATTATCTTTACATGATGTGTGTGTGAAAAGTGTAAGTAAAAGAGCAAGCTACCTAAATCTTAATTTTTATGGACAGATAAAAGACCAGAATCCCCCCTTCAGTAAAAAAATTACAGGTTTTTGCTTTAAACACTTGGGGGACGGTAGTACCTTCCTGGGGGTTGCTGTCTATAAACTACTGCCTACTTTTTTCTTTTTCAAAAAACCCGGGCCAAAACCCCAAACCCAAGGGCAGGGTGGCCCCCCAAAAAGAAAACGAAAGTTTTTCTTTTTAAAAAATTTGAAATTTTGTACGGGGAAAGGGGTTACTACCCCCCTTTTCCCCCGGGCATTTTAGTCACCTCTTACAACACGCAGGGTTACAGGGGAGAATTTCTGTTCACTTCCCCATGGGATAAGAGGAAATAAACAAGAACAAGAACTAAAAAGAAAATAGAAAAAAACCCAGAGGGTGTGTATTATATATTTTTGTTTTGTAAAGTACCCTAGTGTGACTAAGTGTAATTTAAAGTAGCAAGCGTACCTGAAATCTTGCATGTGTATGAGCAAAATAAAAAAGACCCCGAATCCTACCATCATGCAAAACAATTACGGCTTCCGTTTTACACTCATTTGGGCAGACGGTAGTACCCCCCGGGTATTGCTGTCTTAACCCTACCCCCAAAAATTATTATATTTTTCTTCTTTCAAAATCCCAGCCATATCCCCCGAGATGGGGTGGCCCAAAAGAAAAAAATAAATTTTCCCTTTTATATTTAGTAATATTAAAAGGGAAAAGGGTTACTACCCCTTGCTCCCGGCATTGTAGTCGCCTCTTACGAAAACGCATGGCTTACAGAGGAAGAATTCTGTTCCATTTCCCCCATGGAGATAAGAGGAAAAAAAACAAAAAACAAGAATTAAAAGAAAATAGAAGAAAACCCCCAAGGGGTGTTATATAATGCTTGTCCACGTATGTGTATGTGACCTAAGTGAAAATAGAAGGGGCAAAAAAACCCTGTAATTCTGCTATTTAGGGGAACGAAAAAAAGACACCACAACCCTCCTCATGTAAAAAATTACGGGCTTCCTTTTTTACACCATTTGGCGGACGGTATACCCCCCGGGTAGTTGCGTCTATAACCTACCCCTAAAATTATTAATTATTTTTTAATTTAGGTGATGAAAGATTGGGGGTATCAGATTGGGGGGAGAGAGTATGAAGGGGGTGAATGTATTTTAGATATTTGGGATGGACGTGTCAGCGGGTGGTTATAAAATAGGGGAATCATAAATTGATGAGGGGAAAAGGGTGAGCGGTGCACTTAGGGGGGTCTGTGGAGACAAGAAATTTGTCCTTGGGGCAAAGAGGGGGAAGTAGAGAGTATATTTTAAACCAACCCCTTTTTTATGGGTGGAAGCATGGTGAAAAAAAGTTGCGCGAGGAGAAGGGTGGGCAGTGGAGATGTCTGTCTGAGGGGAATGGTGGTTGAATATAATGCAGAGAATTGGGGTTTTTGGAAATTGGAGGAGGGGGGGATTACCAAAAAAGTTGTCCAGAGGGTTTAGGAAGGGGTTTTTGAGGTGGTTCAGACTTGTAGAGGAAGGAGTGAAAAAGAAGGGTTCAAGAGTGTATCGGGCTGTAGTGGGGAAAGGGAAAGGGGGGGGAGGGGGGGCCTAGGAAAAAGGGTTTGGGGGGAGGGGGGGAGGGGTTTTTTGTGCGAGGGGGGTTGGATTCCGCAGGGATGATGAGCGTGTTTGATAGGGGTGAATGAGACAAAAGGTTTTTAATAGACGTGCTGTTGGGGTGAGAAAAGTAAAATTTATGAAGGAATTCAGGGAAACCGGAAGGCCGGACTTGAGTCCTGGAGATGGGAAGTACAGTGCCTGCACTCTGAAGGAGGGGTGTTAATGTTGCAGTTTAAAAACTGCAGTGTAAAGCACCCTTCTGGCAAGACAGTGATGGAGTGAATGATGGTGAAAGTTTTTCTTTTTCGGGCCACCCTGCCTTGGTGGGAATCGGCCAGTGTGTTAATAATAATAATAAAAAAATATTAATTTAGGGAACTAGAGCACAGATCCAATTCCCTAGATGAAGGGCCCCTCACCAACGTCAAGGAACCTTCCTTGAGGGGAAACCTCGCAACCTGAATTTTGGCTCGTATCCAGGGACAAAAAATCGACCAAGCGACAGTTCGTATCCTGAAAAAATTTGCATGGTGAGCCACTCGTAAGCAGAGGTTCCATTGTATACTGACATTATTCTTTCTAATTTTAATGCATTAACAAGTTTTCATAATTCAAAACTGTTATAGGACAATACAGTACAGTGGACCCTCGCCTGACGCTATTAATCCGTTCCTGAGAGCTCAACGTTAGGCGAAATTATCGTTAGCCGAATTAATTTTCCCCATAAGAAATAATGGAAATCAAATTAATCCGTTCCTGACACCCCAAAGTATGAACAAAAAAAAATTTTTACCACATGAAATATTAATTTTAATACACACAAACTGAAGAAGACATGCACAGTTACATGACACTTACCTTTATTGAAAATCTGGTGATGATTGATGGGATGGGAGGAGGGGAGAGTGTTGATGGTCTTAGTGTTTAGAAGGGGAATCCCCTTACATTAGGACTTGAGGTGGCAAGTCCTTTTCTGGGGTTACTTCCCTTCTTTTAATGCCACTAGGACCAGCTTGAGTCACTGGACCTCTGTCGCACAAATCTGTCCATAGAGGCCTGTACCTCCCGTTCCTTTATGACTTTCCTAAAGTGTTTCACAACAATGTCAGTGTAATAGTCACCAGCATGGCTTGCAATAGCTGTGTGAGGGTGATTTTCATCAAAAAACGTTTGCACTTTAAGCCACATTGCACACATTTCCTTAATCTTTGAAATAGGCAACTTCGTCAATTTCTCTATCCCCTCCTCCGAAGCAGTTTCCTCAGGTGTGGCCTCTTGCTGTTGAAGATGATCTAGCAGCTCATCAGTGGTTAGTTCTTCATTGTCCTCCTCCACCAACTCTTCCACATCCTCCCCACTAACCTCCAACCCCAAGGACTTCCCCAATGCCACAATGGATTCCTCAACTGGCATAGGATTCCCAGGGTTAGCCTCAAACCCTTCAAAATCCCTTTTGTCTACACATTCTGGCCACAGTTTCTTCCAAGCAGAGTTCAAGGTCCTCTTAGTCACTTCCTCCCAAGCCTTACCTATAATGTTTACACAATTGAGGATATTAAAGTGATCTCTCCAAAACTCTGTTAGAGTCAAATGAGTTTCTGAGGTCACTACAAAGCACCTTTCAAACATAGCTTTTGTATACAGTTTTTTGAAGTTAGAAATGACCTGCTGGTCCATGGGCTGCAGGAGAGGAGTGGTATTAGGAGGCAAAAACTTCACCTTAATGAAGCTCATTTCCGCAGAAAGTCGCTCTGCCACGTCTGAAGGATGACCAGGAGCACTGTCTAATACCAGGAGGCACTTAAGGTCTAATTTCTTTTCAATTAGGTAATTTTTCAGTGGGGGCAAATGCATGGTGTAACCAGTCAAAGAAAAAGTCCCTAGTGACCCATGCCTTACTGTTTGCCCTCCACAGCACACACAAATTAGCCTTGAGGACATTGTTTTTCCTGAACACTCTGGGAGTTTTAGTGATACACCAATAAAGGCTTCACTTTGCAATCACCACTAGCATTGGCACACATCAACAGAGTAAGCCTGTCTTTCATAGGCTTATGTCCTGGGAGTGCCTTTTCCTCCTGAGTAATGTAGGTCCTGCTTGGCATTTTCTTCCAAAACAGGCCTGTTTCGTAACAATTAAACACTTGTTCAGGTTTCAGTCCTTCGCTGTCTATGTACTCCTTGAATTCATGCACATATTTTTCAGCCGCTTTGTGGGTCCGAACTGGCAGCCTCACCATGCCTTATCACACTATGTATGCCACTACGATTCTTAAATCTCTCAAACCAACCTTTACTGGCCTTAAATTCACTCACATCATCACTAGTTGCTGGCATTTTTCTAATTAAATCCTCATGCAACTTCCTAGCCTTTTCACATATGATCGCTTGAGAGATGCTATCTCCTGCTATCTGTTTTTCGTTTATCCACACCAATAACAGTCTCTCAACATCTTCTATCACTTGCGATCTCTGTTTCAAAAACAAAGTTGCACCTTTGGCAAGAACAGCTTTCTTGATTGCCGTTTTCTTGGCCACAATAGTAGCAATGGTTGATTGGAGTTTTGTATACAACCTGGCCAGCTCGGAGACACGCACTCCACTTTCATATTTAGCAATGATCTCTTTCTTCATATCCATAGTAATTCTCACTCTTTTTGCTGTAGGGTTGGCACTAGAAGCTTTCTTGGGGCCCATGGTCACTTATTTTGCAGGTGCAATCACTAAAAAGGCTGTGATAATATGAAATGTTCCGATTGTATGCTTGGAAACAACCGCGGTGGCTGGCTTGTAAACACTGGCACCCATGGAACAAGTGAGGTGGGCTCAGGCCGCACGTGGACGCGTCTCGAACGAATCGCGTTGAGCGAGTTTTTTAGCGATAGCTGAGGGAAAATTTTTGCGTTAAAATGTATCGCTAGGCGGATTTAACGTTATGCGATACATTGGTTAGGCGAGGGTCCACTGTACAGTGGACCCCCGCATAGCGACCTTAATCCGTGCAAGAGGGCTGGTTGTTATGCGAAATGTTCGGTATGCGAATGAATTTTCCCCATAAGAAATAATGGAAATCAAATTAATCCGTGCAAGACACCCAAAAGTATGAAAAAAATTTTTTTACCACATGAAATATACATTTTCCTACACACAAAGAGAAGGATGCATGCACAATAGTAGAGTAGTACATGCACAATATATATTGTGCATGTACTACTCTACTAAATGAAGAATAAATGACACTTACCTTTATTGAAGATGCAGCAATGACTGATGAGACACTGTGTCCTGGGAGTGCCTTTCCTCCTGAGTACTGTAGGTCCTGTTAGGTATTTTCTTCCAGAACATGCCTTATCACACTGTGTATGCCACTACGATTCTTAAATCTCTCAAACCAACCTTTGCTGGCTCTAAATTCACCAATATGAGCACTAGTTCCAGGCATTTTCCCTGTTCACCTGGGTGTTAGTCAACTGGTGTGGGTTGCATCCTGGGGGCAAATTAAGGACCCCAATGGGAAAAAAGTTAGACGTCTTTGATGACACTGACTTTTTTTTTGGGGTTATCCCGGGTGGCAAAACCTCTGGGGTTTTTGTTTTTGGGATTCTCATAAACCACACCAACAACGGGTTTCTACAGCACAGCAGCAGCTGCGGTGGAACAGCAGCAAACAGCGATGACGCAGCAACAGAATGCTACAGCAGCAGCAGCGATGCACAGCAACAGCAGACAAAGCTAAAGCAGCAGCAGACAATGCTACAGCAGCAGCAGCGATGCACAGCAGGAGCAGATGATGCTACAGCAGAGCAGACGTGCCAGCAGCAGCGACGTGCTAAGAGCAACAGACGATGCTACAGCAGCACAGACGATGCTACGCAGCAGCAGACGAGCTACAGCGCGAGCGATGCACAGCAGCAGCAGACGATGCTACGCAGCAGCAGACGGTACACACAGCAGCGCAGCTGACAGTGGAACGCAGCAGCGCTGACAGTGCAGCAAGCTGACATGCGCAGCAGCACGGAGTGCAGCAGAGTGAGAGTGCGCAGCAAACTGCAGGCCAGCAGCTACGGTGGTCAGCAGCACTGTACCCAATAGTAGCAATGGTTGATTTGGGGTTTTTTTTAAAAACGGGCCCCTCGGAGACACGAAATCCACTTTCATTTATCAATGACTTTTTCTTCATCCCTAGTATTTTCCCCCCTTATTGTGTAGGGGTTTGGGACTAAAGCTTTCTTGGGGGCCATGGGCACTTATTTTCCAGAAAAAAATCACCAAAAAACTGAAAAATCGAAATGTTCCGATTGTATGCTTGGGTGTTACCGCGGGGGCTGGGGTAAACAATGCCACCGGCGGGAAAAGTGAGCGTGGCTCAGGCCGCACATTGGACGGTCTCGGACGAAGGGGTAGGGGTTTTTTTGGGCGGTATGCGAGGCAAAATTTTTGCGATCAAAGCGCCCGGAAAAGCGGATTGAGGGTATGCGATGCGTCCAGTATGGGGGGGGGTCCACTTTTTTTGAATTTTCCCCCAAATTTCCCAATAGGGAATTCCATCAAATTTGGGAATTCCCAAAATTTCCAAAATTTAAACATTTGGAATATCGAATATTTGAATTTGGAAAGACCCCCTGATTTTTTGTCCTAAAAAGAAATGAAAATATTCATAAAAAAATCAAACCCAAGAATATTTTAGTACCGTTTGGAAAAAAAATACACTAAGAAAATGATGGAAGATTTGAACACAATGAGTAGTTGGCGGGGGAGGTAAACTAGAACTTTAAAATTAAACCCAAATGCTGCAAAAAAAAAAAAAAAATAAAATGCATCCCCCATTAAAGTAGTACAGACTTTAAAAAGGGAGGGTCAAAAAAAATGAGCTTGCAAGGCATAAAAAAATTTTAAAAAATAAAGCTACTTTTCTTGCTTGAAGGTACACACTGACAAGACACAGTAGAGCAAAAACTCCATCCCGAAAATCCCACAGGCGGGAAGTCAAACGCACAGGGAAGAGAAATACCCCCCACATCCAAAGATGTTAGAAAATTTAAATTTCAGGTGTGTTTTACAGAAAACACTTTTGTTGCTCTCAAAAGATAAAAAAATTTTTCCCAGTGACCATGAAAAAGCTGGTAAAAACGGGATAATTCTGAAAGAGACAACAGATTATAGAGGAAAATGGACTGAACCCCTGAACAATAAAATCACTTCCTGAAAGTTGGAATGCCTCGAGATCACAAAAGACAATTTTTTTTGTTTATTTGGGGGCGAAGACCCAGTTCTGAAGGTAAACCACAAGTGAAGGGGGAAGGAGAAAAAATGAAGGTGCACAAACGAAACGGGAACAATTCACAACCACCCACCCAACTGGAGAAAAAAAAGACAACTTTTCTTTATCCTCAAAAAAAATGAATTTGTAATAAGCTGTGATTTTAAGAAAAATATTTTTAGCCAAGTTTATGCACATTAAAATTTTTTTTTTAAATGACATAACCAAAATATTGCATTGATAAACCGATGTAAAACCCCCAAAACAATAGATAGCATGGACCCCCGGGTTTACGTCACTCCCAATGCGCCCAATTTAGAAAGTGTTTTTTATGTAAGGCGTTTGTTTTGTACTTTGGGGGTCTGAAATGGTTTAAAATCAATTCACAATATTCCTTAGGGAAAAAATTGGGTCTACTGGCACCGAAATATTTTCTGGAATAAAATAATATCGTAAAGGGGGGTCCACTGTTTTAATAAATTTTTAGGTTTGAAATGTTTTAAAAAATAAATTTATTATTTTGAGCCTGAGAAGATAAAATTTTTAATTTTTTCCCTTGCTGAACCCCTTGATATTTTTCTATTTGCTATTTCACTCCTAGCATCGACAATATTTTCCCCATGTCAACATAAATGTTCTACTTTATCAATTGTTTTCAATGACGATTTCCTGAAAAAAAAAAAAAGTTATATAGTATATATTATTGTACACAAACCTTTTTTTAAACCAAATTAGTCACGAATATCACATTAACTTTTCTCAAAATTCCATTAGGTGGAACAACAAGAAGTTGTAATACATTTGCAAACTGTTAATTTTTAGGAAGCAGTTTGAAGGGGGAAAAGGGGGGTGAGAGTAAATCCCGATGATATTTTACATCCTACAGTCACTGAATTTTTTATTTTGTACATAATTTATACTTTAAGAGTACATATATCAATAATTTTTTTTAATCTTTCTTACCTTTAGCAAAACTTCTAAATCCTGTTTATCAGATATCCTCGTGTCAGCCCTCGAACATCAAAAAACACTTCACTTTAAACCTACAAGGGGATGCCCAGAAATACCTTTTACACGAAATGGCACGAATTAAGACATCACGCTCAAGCTGTTCATTAATTTTTTCTAATCGATGTTGTGGGATAGACCTGAAAAAAGGCATATCAATTGGTTATTTTTAAAACGTAGAAAACACTACTATATGACAGTTTAATACGACGGTGCCTACACTCAATATAATAATACTGTAATATAATAAAAAATAATACAGTAAAGCTTTTAAAATTTTCAAAAGAAGAAAACACTTTACTGATTGAAGACTTGAATTTAAAAATGACTTTTTGAAAAAGAAGAATTTTTTGTTTGTTGTGTTAATTTTTAAAAATGTGTTCATAAAAACTAAAAGGGCATTTAAAAATATTTTTTGGGGGTTTTCAAATTTTTTTTCCCGTACAACTCAAATGGGTTGTTTAATGTTAAACTTTCCAAAAGTAGATCTACCTTTGTACGCTATCGCTTAAAACAAATCAAGTTTTTTTTTGCTTCAAACTTGGCACAACGGCTTAAGATGTCTGGTCAGTATAGAATGGGTCTTAACACTCTTTGCGCGTAAAAAAAAAAAATTTGGGACCACTTAGTACTTGTGGGAGCCCAGCAAGCCACCAGCAAAAGAAAAGCGTGGCAAACCCGGGGGGTTTACTGACGTTATTTGTTTAAAACTCCCTTTTAAAAGGGAAAGTGATGAGACCCACAGCTTAGTGGGTTTGAAGCATGTGGGGCCCCAAGTGGCGAGGGAAAAATCAAAAACCCAATAATAACCCCTGGCAACTTTTTTTCATTTCGATACCAGGTATGTCAATCCGCCAGATGTCCTATAACCCATGCCCTAAGTAAAAAGAAACTTTCTGGAAAATTAAACTATGTATTTGGCAGGGTGACTGCTGGGGGTGAGACTTGGCTGTCTCTCGTCGCATCGTGTTTATATCCTGTCTGTCTGCTCTGTCTCTCTCATTTACACAAGACACTATCATTTTTTTTTTTTTAAAAAAATCGGGCCCTCTCCCACCAAGGCAGGGTGACCCAAAAAAAGAAAAAATCCTCAAAAAGAAAATCTTTCATCTCATTCAAAATTTTTACCACCTCACACATTACACTGTTTTTGCAAGGGTCAGAATACAACATTTTGAAGCAATACAAAAAAGATACAAACTATCCCCCCAAACTGCCAATATCCCAAACCCCCCCTTTAAAGTGCGGGATTTACTTCCCATTTCCAGGGCTCAAGTCCCCACAAAAGAAAATAAAAAAGTTTCCCTGAATCCCTTTACTAAAAATTTCCCCTGCCACACTCCCAAAATTTGCAGGCCCAATACCCTTCGTCTCCATTCACTCCATCTAAAACGCCCCGCACGCTTCGGGAAACCAAGCCCCCCCCCCAAAACCTCATTTACCCCCTCCTTCCCCCCCTTTCGGGACGACCCCACCCCGCCTTTCCCTTTCCCCCATAGATTTATAGCTTTCCATGTCATTTTTACTTTGATCCATTCTTCTAAATGACCAAACCACCTCAACAACCCCCCCTCCCCTCTGACTAATACTTTTTTTAACTCCACACCTTTTCCTAATTTCCACACTAAAAATTTTCTACATAATATTTACACCACACATTGCCCTTAAACAGGACATCTCAACTGCCTCCAATCGTCTCCTCACTGCTGAATTTACCACCCAAGCTTCACACCCATATAAGAGTGTTGGTACTACTATACTTTCATGCATTCCCTTCTTTGCCTCCATAGATAATGTTTTTTGACTCCACATATACCTCAATGCACCACTCACCTTTTTTCCCTCATCAATTCCATGATTAACCTCATCCTTCATAAATCCTTCCGCCGACACGTCAACTCCCAAGTACAGTGGACCCCCGCATAATGATATTAATCCGTTCCTGAGAGCTCATTGTTATGCGAAATTATCGTTATGCGAATGAATTTTCCCCATAAGAAATAATGAAAATCAAATTAATCCGTGCAAGACACCCCAAAGTATGAAAAAAAAAATTTTTACCACATGAAATATTAATTTTAATACACACAAACTGAAAAAGACATGCACAGTTACATGACACTTACCTTTATTGAAGATCTGATGATGATTGATGGGATGGGAGAGGAGAAGAGTCTTAGTGTTTTAGAAGGGGAATCCCCTTCCATTAAGACTTGAGGTGTCAAGTCCTTTTCCGGGGTTACTTCCCTTCTTCTTTTAATGCCACTAGGACCAGCTTCAGTCACTGGACTTCTGTCGCACAACATATCTGTCCATAGAGGCCTGTACCTCCCGTTCCTTTATGACTTTCCTAAAGTGGTTCACAACATTGTCAGTGTAATAGTCACCAGCACAGCTTGCAATAGCTGTGTTAGGGTGATTGTCATCAAAAAAGGTTTGCACTTTAAGCCACATTCCACACATTTCCTTAATCTTTGAAGTAGGCAACTTCTTCAATTTCTCTCTCCCCTCCTCCGAAGCAGTTTCCTCAGGTCTGGCCTCATGCTGATGAAGATGATCTAGCAGCTCATCAGTGTTTAGTTCTTCATTGTCCTCCTCCACCAACTCTTCCACATCATCCCCACTAACCTCAAACCCCAAGGACTTTCCCAATGCCACAATGGATTCCTCAACTGGCATAGGATTCCCAGGGTTAGCCTCAAACCCTTCAAAATCCCTTTGGTCTACACATTGTGGCCACAATTTCCTCCAAGCAGAGTTCAAGGTCCTCTTAGTCACTCCCTCCCAAGCCTTACCTATAAGGTTTACACAATTGAGGATATTAAAGTGCTCTGTCCAAAACTCTCTTAGAGTCAGTTGAGTTTCTGAGGTCACTACAAAGCACCTTTCAAACAGAGCTTTTGTGTACAGTTTTTTGAAGTTTGCAATAACCTGCTGGTCCATGGGCTGCAGGAGAGGAGTGGTATTAGGAGGCAAAAACTTCACCTTAATGAAGCTCATGTCCCCATAAAGTCGCTCTGCCACGTCTGTAGGATGACCAGGGGCATTGTCTAACACCAGGAGGCACTAAGGTCTAATTTCTTTTCAGTTAGGTAAACTTTCACACTGGAGGCAAATGCGGTATGCGAGGCAAAATCTTAGCGATAAAATGTATCGGTATGAGGATTTAACGTTGTGTAAGGCCAACGGTATGCGGGGGTCCACTGTATCTGAAAACATTCACTTCTTCCATACTCCTCCTCCCCAATTTGATATCCAATTTTTCTTTATCTAAATCATTTGATACCCTCATCACCTTACTCTTTTCTATGTTCACTTTCAACTTTCTACCTTTGCACACATTCCCAAACTCATCCACTAACCTTGGCAATTTTTCTTTAGAATCTCCCATAAGCACAGTATCATCAACAAAAAGTAACTGTGTCAATTCCCATTTTGAATTTGATTCCCCAAAATTTAATCCCACCCCTCTCCCGAACACCCTAGCATTTACTTCCTTTACAACTCCATCTATAAATATATTAAACAACCATGGTGACATTACACATCCCTGTCTAAGACCTAATTTTACCGGGAAGTAGTCTCCCTCTCTTCTACACACCCTAACCTGAGCCTCACTATCCTCATAAAAACTCTTTACAGCATTTAATAACTTACCACCTATTCCATATACTTGCAATATCTGCCACATTGCTCCTCTATCCACTCTATCATATGCCTTTTCTAAATCCATAAATGCAATAAAAACTTCCCTACCTTTATCTAAATACTGTTCACATATATGCTTCAATGTAAACACTTGATCTACACATCCCCTACACACTCTGAAACCTCCTTGCTCATCCGCAATCCTACATTCTGTCTTGCCTCTAATTCTTTCAATTATAACCCTAACCGTACACTTTTCCTGGTATACTCAGTAAACTTATTCCTCTATAATTTTTACAATCTCTTTTGTCCCCTTTCCCTTTACATAAAGGACTATACATGCTCTCTGCCAATCCCTAGGTACCTTCCCCTCTTTCATACATTTATTAAACAAAAATACCAACCACTCCAACACTATATCCCCCCCTGCTTTTAACATTTCTGTCATGATCCCCTCAGTTCCAGCTGCTTTAACCCCCTTTCATTCTACGTAATGCCTCACGTACCTCCCCCACACTTACATTCTGCTCTTCTTCACTCTTAAAAGATGGTATACCTCCCTGACCAGTGCATGAAATTACCGCCTCTCTTTCTTCCTTAACATTTAAAAGTTCCTCAAAATATTCTTGCCATCTACCTAATACCTCCATCTCCCCATCTACTAACTCCCCTACTCTGTTTTTAACTGACAAATCCATACTTTCCCTAGGCTTTCTTAACTTGTTCAACTCACTCCAAAATTTTTTCTTATTTTCATTAAAATTTCTTGACAGTGCCTCTCCCACTATCATCTGCTCTCCTTTTGCACTCTCTCACCACTCTCTTCACCTTTCTTTTACTCTCCATATACTCTGCTCTTCTTATAACACTTTTGCTTTGTAAAAACCTCTCATAAGCTAACTTTTTCTCTTTTATCACACCCTTTACTTCATCGTTCCACCAATCACTCCTCTTTCCTCCTGCCCCCACCCTCCTATAACCACAAACTTCTGCCCCACATTCTAATCTGCATTTTTAAAACTATTCCAACCCTCTTCAACACCCCACTACTCATCTTTGCTCTAACCCACCTTCTGCCAATATCGCTTAACCACCCGAATTTCCTCCTCCCTTACTTTATACACTTCACCTCCCTCTTATTTGTTGTTTGCCACCTTCCTCTTTTCCCATCTACCTCTTACTCTAACTGTAGCTACAACTAAATAATGATCTGATATATCAGTTGCCCCTCTATAAATATGTACCTCCTGGAGCCTACCCATCAACCTTTTTTTCCACCAATACATAATCTAACAAACTACTTTCATTATGTGCTACATCATACCTTGTATATTTATTTATCCTCTTTTCATAAAATATCTATTACTTATTACCAAACTCTTTCTACACATAGCTCAATTAAAGGCTCCCTATTTACATTTACCCCTGGCACCCCAAATTTTCCTACTACTCCCTCCGTAACATTTTACCCACTTTAGCATTGAAAAACCCC